AGTGGGATTATTATGATTAGTTTTATGTGCTTGTGCTTAGCAGTGGGGCAGTGATGTCTCAGTGGTTAAAGGCTCTGGGTTACTGATCAGAAGGTCAGGAGTTCAAGCCCCAGCACTGCCAAGCTACCACTGTTGGGCCCTTAAGCAAGGCCCTTAAGCCTCAATTGCTCAGTTGTATAAATCAGAGAAATATAAGTCGCTCTGGATAAGGCCGTCTGCCAAATGTCGTAAATGTAAATGACAGTGTTTTTGAATCGTGTATGTTTATTTCACATAACTACCTTTTTGCGTATTCTCTTGAATATAATTTCCAATACTTTTACAATTAGACTCACGATTATAGTTAATTATATTCCTTTTACTCAAAAAGCAGCATCCATGTTGAGTCTACGTCTTCTGTTCCACTCGAGTACAAAATCTCTTAGCAACAAAGAATATACAAAACGAGTCACCGATTAGTCAAGCTACAAGTCATGAGGACTCGAGTGCGACATCGCTCGATCTTAGTAACGTTCCAGTGATACGAATAGAACATTTCCAACATTTCTTTTATTGCATAATTATCTAATAACGCCCGTGAAACAGCTGGATGCACTTTCCAGTACCTGTGTTTAATGGCTGAATTTTGCTTGATCCAGATCACACGTGTTCAGAAAACAGGAACTTGAAGGTTATTAATAAACGTTTTGCGCCATGCTTGGCTGCAGGTGATGGAGGCGGAGCAGAGCAGGACAAGCAGTGAACTGGAGCACAAAGAGACAGCGGCCAAATACAACGCAGCCATCAACCACATGAGACAACTGGAGAAGAAACTCAAACGTAATATCAACAAGTCACGGTCAGTCGATCGGCTGCGTTTAATGCTGTCCAGTGCAACACAGAAAAGAGTCAGAATACATTTAAAGGCATTTCTCAGAAATGATATAAATGATCTATTTTAGCACACGTTCTGTAACTGTGTATCATACTGTACATAAATTGCTTTTATGACTCTTTTACCGTGTAAAAAATGGAGGACCAGATCGAATAATATTAAAAAAGAATAAATGAATGAGTATACATTGTACATATTTAATATTTATACATAAATATTATATATTTTTTCAGTTAAAAATAATACATTAGTGTTATATATTATTACGTTATTATTTCGTATATTACATATTATTATGTGCTGTAGCTCTATAATACATTATATTATATTAATTGTTAATAAATATATGTATTTATTCATTTTTCATGCCTTTGTATATGCCTGAGGATATTTATTACTACGTATTCTCTCTTTTTTTCTTTTTTTTTTAAACCACTTTATTTATCCGTGTGTATTGATTATCTCTCCTAGATTCTCTTTCTTTTTTCGCTAACAGCTCGGCGTAATATGACACGACGGACATGAAACTTTCACGATGTAGAGAAAGTTAAATAGCGTAGACGCTGGAGTTTGTCTACGTTTGCAAATGTGCTATTTTTTTTTACAGTTTTAAATCCTGATAAAGGTTTAATGGAGTTTAAAAAGCGGTTGCGAACTACACCCCAAACTCTGTTCTCTGCTTAGAAAGCAGGAATAAAAGGTGGCTCAGTAGCCATGCTCTTAGAGGCGGTTGTGTAGTGATGGGTTTCCCCCTCGTCCCAGCACAGGGCCTCTCTTTGTTTCTGTTTCTCTGTCTGTGCTGGTGTGTGCAGGCTGATGTGCTCCAGATGTGCCGTCTCTCGCTCGCTTTCAGAGCTCAAGAATGTTCGAGTGTTACTGTTGCCACGGCAACCTCTGTACAATGTCTGCAGTCCCTGACTGAAACTCTCTCTTTCTCCCTCCCGTCCCTACAGGCCATATTTTGAATTGAAGTCCAAATATTATCTACAGCTCGAGGTAGGTCCTTTCCATTGGTTATGCTTCATGCTTGCTTGATCTATCTATCTATTTATTTTTATTTTTTAAACTCACCCTCTGTACTGTATATTCATGTGCTTGGGAATATAATATAATGTGATCACAGCTACGGGGTAAATCTTCAAGAAGGAAGAAAAAAGTTGAAATATTGGAAAAGAAAGAGAAGAAGACTTGCGGTTGATCTGTACACGTATCGTTTCTGACCAGCGTTCTCGACCTTCTTCCCCACAGCAACTGAAGAGAAAAGTGGACGAGTGCCAGGCGAAGCTGTCCCAGGCCAAAACGGAGTACAGGACGGCCTTGCGCAACCTGGAGGCCATCTCAGACGAGATCCACGCTCGCAGACGTCTCGCAGCCATTGGGCCCCGCTGCTGCGGCGTTGGGGCTGAGAAAGACATAGGCGATGGTGCAGACATCAGCAACTTCAAAATGGAGTCAGACGGCATATCCAGTGAGTGTGCTGAAATATCAGTGTGGAAAGAAGCACTGTTTATTTATGAGTCACTTATGATCCAAACCAGGATCTTGAAGATGCTTAGGCTCTGATGCAGATGTGTGTGTGTGTGTGTGTGTGTGTGTGTGTGTGTCGGTGTGTGTTGCAGTGATATCTGAGCCCTTTGAGGAGGAAAACTGTAATGGTTCTGCCTCAGATGAAGAACCAGAAACCCAGTCCACCTGCAGCCTGAGCTCCAACTCGGCCCCTGTGGATGTTCCCTGCACATACGCCCCGTCCTGCACATCTCCATACCCTCTGCTCTTGTCCTCCTGTCCTTTCCCCTCCTCTCTTCACTCATTTTCTCCCTGCCCCAGAGGTATGGAGCTGCCCAGCCCAGGCTCCCTGGAGGGCTTCGACCGTGTCTCGCCTGTTCTGGGACCTCGCAGTGAATGCAGCGGTGCTTCATCACCTGAGTGTGAACAGGAAAGAGGTAAGCATCAAGCCACGTTTCTCTTTATAATGTACGTGCAGATTTACACGGTGCCGACTTTACGTGTTGCTAGTCATTATTGACCGAGATCTATGTGGGGTTGTTTTGTTTTTTTTTACTGTACATTTAGTTAAACATGCTGGTTTATCATTCCGTGTTTTCTTGCTGGAAAATGATTAAAAAAAAAAAGACAAACGTTGTTATTTATTTACAGAAATACAGAATACTTGAAAAAAAAAAAAGTTGCTTTTGCACTGTGATAACAAATTTCACCTGAACAATCAGTCTATATAAATCAGTCTATATAATCAGTCAGAGAGGACGTACCCATTTAAACATCCTCGTCTCATGTTTAAGGATACTTCACTTTCGGATTAACTGCAACAATGTTCTAAACGTGACTGTGTGTGTGTGTGTTTAGGGGAAAGAGCAGAAGGTGCTGAGAGAAAACCAGAAAACACTACACGGGCCAGTGGTCAAAAGAGCACTACCTTGGAGGAGGGTGTGAGACGTCTGTCTCTGCAGCGCACAGAAAAGACGCAGACGGAGTCATTTAATGCTGCTGCCCCTCTGCTGCTGCTAAACTCGGTTTAAACTAAAATAAAGACATAATCGGATCTCTCCGAGCTCCTGAGTACTTGTGCACAAGCATCATGTGTCAAAGGAACCTTTGTGTCCAGCCCTACACCCTTCTCATAGACTGACCGAGACGGAGACTGCACAGAGATTCCGAGGAAGAGAAGGGGAAAGGTTTAAACAAGGAAGCGCAAGACAGATAAACTAACGCATATGCAGACATTTGCCAGGATGTGTCCTGGGTGTTTTCGCTCATGTCCCAAGACAAATGGCCCTGTCTTCCTGATCTGCGTATCACTTTGCCAGACTGACCGTGTTATTCCTGTGTGTTGACCCTCGCAGTGTTAACGTGTATAATGTGTGTCGGCTGTGTTGAATAGTAGGCTCTACGTACTTTTCTCTGCAGCTATACTCTCTCTCTCTCTCTGTATTTAATCCTACATGTTAGTACAGAACTATGAACTAAAGTAGCACAGAAATCTATATTTATATTCAGTCTTGTTACCATTGACCAATGTGTTGTTGTGGCATTGTAATGTATAACTGTGTAATAAACATGAGCTCGTGGCATACGCCATGCCAAGTGTACAGCGTCTCCAAATATATATATTTATATATATATATACACACATGCTGCAGTACACACTGCAACCACTGAGGGTTTAATTAAAATCACCCATGTCTAATATTCCTACTAAGTCTAGCACACAACACTGTCTTGTTCCTGCTTGAATTAATTTTCATGCTGAATCCGACTCCTGTTTCTACCCCATGTTATTCGTATGATTCCATTGAAACACTCTCACTCTCACTTTCTCTCACACACACACTCACACACTAGTGCAGCATTCTCTTCACAGATTAGGTCTAGGAGCTACAGCCTACACCAGCCCAAACCTGAAACTATATGCATATATATCACAGTGCTGTTGAATTCTTGATTATGATTGCTCAGAAGGTGTTGATTAATTTTCTATAACAGCAGCACTGATAATAGTTCCACATATCAGCAGAAAAGAACCCTGTAATGGTTTGTTTCAGGGTAAAATTCTTGTATTTTATTGTTCAAAAAGCGACCCCTCCGGATTGAGAAAGTACACTTATAGATCAGAGACCACATGATCATGAGGAACCTGCTCCTAAACGTTGGATGTCTTTTAATGAAGTTGATTTATTTGAAAGTTAAATACTAACTTACAGGAGGGCACTGGAGCTTCGTGGTTAGCATGTTTGCCTCACACTTGGGTTGGGGGTTTGAATCTCGCTTCCGCACTGTGTGTGCAGAGTTTGCATGTTCTCACGGTGCTTCAGGTGTTTCCTCCCCTGGGCCAAGAACATGTGTTGTAGGCTTATTGGCATCTCTAAATTGTCCGTAGTGTGTGAACGTGTGCACATTGTGCTCTGCAATGGGGTTCCCTGGAAACCTAGGATCCAGGCTCCCCGTGACCCTGTGTAGGATAAGCGGGAAATAAAATGGATAAGATAAGATAATACTTTATTCATTTCCAAATGGAGAAATTAGGATGGATATTAACTTAGGATCAATTTATCTTAAAGGTTTGAAAGAAAGACAGATTTATTTTAATATAATGTGATTAATTAAAAAGGGTGCAAGTTGGCTTAGTGGTTAGCATGTTCACCTCACAACTCCAGGGTCGGGGGTTCGATTCCCACCATGACCGTGCATGTTCTCCCCGTGCTGTGGGTTCCCCCGGGTACTCCGGTTTCCTCCCCTGATTGGCGTGTCTTATGTAGTGTATGAATGGGTGTGTGAGTGTGTATGTGATTGTGCCCTGCGATGGACTGGCATCCTGTCCAGGATGTACCCCGCCTTGTGCCCGATGCTTCCTGGGATTGGCTCCAGGTTCCCGACCCTGAAAAGGAGTAAGCGGTAGAAGATGGATATATGGATGATTAATTAAAATAAAATCAGGAATGATTAAATGTTCCTTTTTAAATGTTGTTTAGGGGTGTATATTTTGACAAAAAAAATATTTACAAAAAGGACAAGCAAAGAACACGAGCATGATTTTAATAGGGAAGATAAGTAGTTTTTACAATGATATATTTTCGCCAATTTTTTGTTGATTTCAATAAGTCTGTTGTTTTCAAAAAATCATTCTTGACTTACTAAAATTGCCCAATGAACGCGTCTCACTCAGTGACGCGTTCCGTTTTCACCCAATGGAATAGCTGCTTTGGTGTGACGTCATTCCAAATGCGGAACTACCAGGAAAACAACTTGTGTCCAAATGACGCACTATACACTGTGTACTTATGCGCTATATACTATAAACTGTGTAGTGTATGAATTTTATAAAGTTATTTTTTTATTCAACACTAGTCTGATAGCCCCGCCCCCCGCTACGTAATGACTTCATATTCTCGGTTTAATTAAATGCATCAGCTGGGTATTTAATTTAAAGTGTGCTTTTCCTGTTTAGAATTTTCAGAGTACACTACTCGCACTATTTATTATATACAATGGCGTAGAATAGTGCATAAGTAATAATACATAAATAAATAAAAAGTTACTTCCAAATGTTAGGAATTAACAGAGTAAACAAAGTTGACCTTTGAACTTTTGGCATGCAGGATAGTCCCAGTCATGGCGCTATGTGGACTCAGGGTCGTTATTCTAGCAGCCTGGTTTACCGGGACTCATTTGGCCAATGGAGCGGGGGATTTGTTTTACACGGCTGCAGTGTATGAGCACCAAGTTCTCCTGAACCCAGAACCGAAGGTGGCTGTGGGACGGAAAGCCGCGCTGCAGCACATGAACCGGAACCTGGAGGTGTTTGAGAAACAGGCGACTTCCGCTGCACACCAGGTGATGTAGAGCAGAGGCTCTCAAAATGGAGTCTGTGCTGCAAGGCACACCCCCAAGCTCATACTTTTATTATTAAGGAATTCTGTTTATGAACATATTTGATTCATCACTTGTATTATATTTGTCTAATCCAAACCTTAATAGGTCAAAAACAACTTGGTCAGTACATAATGCCACCTAGGACCTAACTTGGAGCGTCTCCAAAACAGCAGGTCTTGTGGGGTGTTCCCAGTATGCAGTGGTTAGTACCTACCAAAAGTGGTCCAAGGATGGACGACCATCAACAGGGTCATGGGCACTCAAGGCTATTTGATGTGCGTGGGGAGTAGCATGTCTGGTCCAGTCCCACAGAAATTGCTGAAAAAGTTCATTCTGGCTCTGATAGAAAGATGTCAGAACACACAGTGCATCACAGCTGGCTGCGTATGGAGCTGTGTAGCAGGGCAGTCAGAGTGCCCATGCTGACTCCTGTCCACCACCGAAAGCACCTACAACGAGCACGTGAGCATCAGAACTGGACCATGGAGCAATGGAAGAATGTGGCCTGGTCTGATAAATCCCGTTTTCTTTTACATCATGTGGACGACTGGGTGCGTGTGTATCGCTTACCTGGGAAAGAGATGGCACCAGGATACACTATGGGAAGAAGGCAAGCTGGTGGAGGAGGTGTGATGCTCTGGGTAATGTTCTGCTGGGAAACCTTGGGTCCTGGTATTCATGTGGATGTTACTTTGACACGTAGCACCTACCTAAACATTGTTGCAGACCAAGTACGCCCCTTCATGGCAGCGGTATTCCCTAATAGCAGCGGTCTCTTTCAGCAGGATAATGCGCCCTGACACACTGCAAAAACTGCTCAGGAACGGTTTTAGGAACACGACAAAGAGTTTAAGGTGTCGACTCGGCCTCCAAATTCCCCATTCGCAATCTGATCGAGCATCTGTGGGATGTTCTGGACAAACCAGTCTGATATTTATTTATATGTATTTATAGCTTTTTTTTAAATCCAGTAATTAAATTTATGCCATTTTATTCAGACATTTAAAAAAGATTATTTCTGAAAGTAGAAATTTAGTTTTCAACAAGATGTAATTAAAAATAATTTAACTGGTAAAAAGAATTACTGAAACTGCTCAAACCTTATTTAAATAAAGAATTACATAATTGTATAAAAAACATTTAAAAAACATTTGGTTTCTAATTGGTTTTCTAAGCTGAAAAGATATTTCATTTCAGTTACCTACTGGCAAACTACTGAAAAAGGTTTCTTAAAAGAAAATTTTTTGGTTAATCTATAGTAGAACTTTGAGACACGTTTTGAAACACAGCTACGAACGAACATTTTTGGCCGCCCCAGTTAAAGTACTTGCTATTACACACTGAAGAGACTTACTGAACAGTGAACTCACTGAAGCTTAATCTGTTTAACAGGGAGCCCAGATCCTGGTGTTTCCAGAGGATGCCATCCACGGATTCAACTACAGCAGAGTGTCTATAGCTGCATATCTGGAGACGGTGCCGGATCCTGGAGCAGTGACGTGGAGCCCATGTGCAGATCCTGACAGATTCCAAAATACAGAGGCACTGTGTCTAAAGATGCTTAATATCAGTACTATATTACTGTTTTGGCAGAAGAACATACCTTATAGTGACGTGTTGGGACAATTTGTTTTGGATTCCATTTTATTTTAAACTTATGAAGAAAAGAAACCCCCAGTGTAAAGTAGAGATCCAGAAAAAAACATGGGAGAATGCAAAGTTTCAATATTTATTATTTTTATAATATGCAAAATGGAATAATTCAACAGAACCTTCTATCTTTTCGCAGGTCCTGCATCGTTTGAGCTGCATGGCACAGAAGAATCATCTCTTCCTGGTGGCTAACATGGCCGACTGCCAACCCTGCAACAGATCGGTCGATCCGCTGTGTCCAGCCGATGGCCACTACCAGTTTAACACCAACGTAGTTTTTAGTGACAACGGCACCATCGTGGCCAGATACCACAAACAGAACCTGTACTTTGAGGCAGCCTTCGACACACCTCCTGAGTGTGAGTATGTGACGTTCACTACTCCATTCGCCGGGCGTTTCGGGGTGTTCACCTGTTTTGATATATTATTCCGGGAACCTGCTGTGACCCTGGTGAAGGACATGGGCATCAGACAGTTCGTATACCCGACAGCTTGGATGAACCAGCTCCCCCTGCTGGCTGCTGTGCAATTTCAGCGCTCATTCTCTTATTCAGCGGGCGTCACTTTGCTGGCAGCAAACATCCGCTCTGAGGCTTTGGGTATGACAGGAAGTGGGATTTTTACACCTTGGGATGCGCTTTATCATCACGCCGCAGAGGGCGAGGCTGGGAAACTGCTGGTGCTAAGAGTGCCGGTCTTAGATCCCTTATTGCTAGGGGACGCTCCAGAGAGGGCTCGATTGAAGTTAGTGCCCTTCTCCGGCTTTCCCAAAGTGGATAATGGAGAGGAACCCGAGTTTAGACCTTTCCAGAGTGGAGCAGACTCGGAATTCTGCCTAAAAGAGGATTTCAGTTGTAATAAACGGTCTACTCGATTTACCTCCACGATGATGTATGATAACTTTACACTAGTGCCCCTACATGGCAAAGAAGGGAATCTCACAGCATGTGACGGCTCATTCTGCTGCCACTTGCTCTTCCGGAGGACAAATACCACCCCCGAAGAAGAGCTTTATGCCCTGGGGGCGTTTGATGGCCTCCATGTGGTCCATGGGACGTACTACCTAGAGGTGTGCGCCTTAGTCCGGTGCACAGGGCTCCATCAGGAAAGCTGTGGAGGAGAGACTGAGCATGCGCACACTCTGATTGACTTTCACCTGCAAGCGGCGTTCAGTACCGAGCACGTGTACACCGGCGTGCTGGGCAGCGGGATGACTCTGGACCGACCGGATGAGTCCGGCTGGGAAAGCGGCAGGTTTTATATGAGCCGAAGAGGAATACCGAGCGGCCTGGTGACCGCAGTGCTGTACGGTAGAGTCTACGAGAAAGATGGCGAATAAAGTCGCACAGCTCTCTTTCTTTCAGTGTTGTATCAGTGTTCTGCAGTTGAGTGCAAAAGTTTGCATCTCCCTTGAATTCTGCATGAAGAAAAAAAAAGAAAATAGGCCTATACTTTACAATTTAAATAAGTCTTCTAAGAATTTAAAAAAAAAATAGAGGTATATCCTACAAAACAACAGGTTGCCACACATGATCTAAAGACGTGGCGGGAAATATCATGTTTAATTTCAACTCCAAATCATGTTAAAACCCCCTTTTTTCCCCATTTTAATAGTTTCTACTGTATTCTAGCCTTTTGCTGTAACCATAAGCACGTCTAATAATAAAAAAAAACTCAAATTGAAGATATAAAGGAGAATATTTTCCTGATTTTACCACAAGGAATTAATTTTAAAGCCGTCTTGTTTTTTGTGTGCAGGAAACGTGTCGTCTGTGGAGGATTTTTCTCTTTAGAGCAGATTAGGAGCATGTTCTCATTCTGAGTAAATGCACGGTTTATTGTGAGCAACTTGAGGGACTGCATTTGACCGGCTAACAGGAATCACATGTTCAGTGTAAAATGGGCGTCAGCACTCCTAAATGTAAATAATCAAATCAGTTCTTATTACAGAACTGACCATATTGTGACCATTATTGTGGTGTGACAAAAATATTCAAGATTTATTAATAATCATTTGAGCAACGCACTGAGTGGCCAGTCTTACCCTTTATAAAAGGTAACATTGTTTTTTTAAACACATACAGTCACTCACACACACAGTCACTCACACACACAAGCACACACGTAATCGCAGGCACACACACACACACACACACACTT